GCAGACCCCGCACGCCACACAGTCTTTGTGTACGGTTGAATAAAGCCATTGCTTATCAGGACCGCCCTCTTGCCTTCTGCCTATTATCCGGGTTCGAAGTACTGGGCTATAACAACTGGCGACGCTGAACTTACTGGACTATAACAGGAAGAAACGGCTGCAATTTCATAAGTATTCAACAGCAGTGGAAAGACACAGACAACTGGAGCGTTGCGATATCAACTTAAGCAGTCCGTGGTAGAGTTCTGGGTAAAGCGCCAATGTCACTCCATATTAATTAATTCAAGTTTACGTGACATCCTTTTTGATATTACGACTTCGCTTGCGTTTTTTATTCAACGGTATATTTGCCGACAGTCGCTGCTTGCAGATTTTATTAAAATACTGTCATTATTTATTAACGGCAGGTTCATTTTAATCCTTTAGCCGCTCCTGAAAATGTTGGAAGGGTACTCCCATCTTCTCCTGGTAGCTTTTTCGATATTTCCTTCCATCTTTTAGGTTCAGCTTGAGGTCACCGCTCGCATAGTACAGGACCAGCTACGTGGTGATAAGGTCAACGAGATCCGCGTCAAGTTTGTTCGCCGAATAAAGGAGATCTGCGTTGGCGAGGACTAGATATCCGTTTTCCATCTGTCTCGTTTATTATCCCAGTCCTCTCTTTTCTCATTGCGCACTTTCCTCCTCTTTTTCTTCGTTACTTCTGCGATATTTGAATAAAGATCTGGAAAAATGCGTTGTCGCCTCCTGCAAACTGTCCCTTTAAACTGATTTTGGCGATAAAGATCCTTGACTGTCTTCTCTTTGCACGCATTGCTAAGTTCATGACCGCCGTACCTCTGCTCACTCCGACCAACATCAAGGAAGCCTGGCTCATAAAGGGTCTCCGTTTACTCTACTCACAGAAACCCGAGGACGGCACTCGTCTTCGTCGTTTCTACAAGGATGCTTGTGATAACGAGGCACATGTGCTGCGTACCACTCTTTCCGAAGCCCTTAGAGAATCTAAAGAGGACGGTGCTGAGGTTAGCTATTTTTCCATTTCCCTCGCCAAACTCCCCATATTTTATTAATTTATTGCCAGCTTCGGCTGCCATGCATTGATTGGACTTTGTGATCCGCATTTTGCCTGGACGGACGCCAGTTTTTGAGGTAGTTCGGATCGCAAGAATGCGGAGAACCGTCCGAAAAGTCATGCTTTTTCAGACTGTCGGGCTTGACGATGCGCAGTGATGGTAAACGGACCTATTTCTTACCTACCAACAGAATCGAGGGTGCCTTCTTACGTTTGTTATTACGCCAGATTTCGATTGATAAACTCTCCTGCCAGCATTATCATAAGTATTTGTAAATGGTTCACTGCTTGAGCTGTCTGCATTTTGTAAGTTCATATTAATCGTGCCGATCCAGGGACGCTCACTGATTGTCTAAGACTATCCTCTATGTCAATACTTTTTGGCACCTTGTCTAAGCAGTCTTTTGCAGCAGGTTGCCTATTCCAAGTTCCCCTGTCCACTATATCGCCTTGAGACAGTTTCATGTTTTGTAATATGTTGCGCACTACGGTTTACGTGCTATGTACCACGCAGTGTTGCCGTCACCGAAGTGTATTTCATGTGGGTCAGCACTGACCCCCTGCTTTTCAGCATGGTTGCCCTTTAACCATTTTCGCTCACAAGTGGATTGTCAGCCTACCCGCTGCTTACGTAGAGATTGGGCCCTAACTCTTGCAAAATGCCGAAATTTGTGAAAGATTGATAATTACTCGCAGACCGGCATTAACACGTACGAAAACTTTGAAATAATAATGAACAACCTTAAGCAGTTTTATAACTTAAAAGACATAAAAGTACTAATAGTCTATTCTTAAGAATACCAACCTTTTTAAAGAAACCAAGTCCCGAAAACGTGAAAAATTGATATAACTACAATAATTGTAAATATAATCGGCAGGTAAAATCGTAACCACATTATTTTCTATAAACAGAACCTTCCTATCGTCAAATTTCCTTTACGCTATTTCAGGTATTGGATTAGAATTAGTTTCAGATCGTCCTTTCAATTCCGATGAAATTTTTCTAAATTTCAGTGTTTTCAAGCTCTTCAT